CCGCCGCTCCCAACTCATGTCACACCACCCTCCTTCACACCCCGGCCTCCAGGCACCCCCCCACCTCCAAAGCCCATCCAGCTCAGTCTAAGGCAGGCCTGGTCACATTCATCTGCATGTGCAAACCCGACTCACCAAACCCCTGGTCCAGTGTGATCATCATGAACCTCTGAGGAAGTCCGTGGACACCTCTGCTCAGCCTCCTCCCGTGGACTCCAAGGACGGCAGACTCCAATCCCAGATCCCCGCCCTGGCCTGGGAATCTCCTCCTCTGACTTGGTCTTCATGTCCTTTTCTCTTGCCCCTGGCTCCCTCCCTCCCGGCCTCCTGTTCGGCCATGACCTGTTCCTCCCTCTGCCTCCCTCCTCCCCAGTCAGTGTCCCAGGATCCCTGCTGGGCCGGCTTCTCCTCCTTACACACTAAGCCCAAGGTGGGCTCTGGGAGTGGCCTTCCCTGACGACTGTCTGAGGCCGCTCCCGTCCGTGTCACACCACCCTGTTGTAGGTGGTTTGCAGACCTGCGACTCCCTGAGCTTGGGTAGCTCTTGCTTTGACTCCTGCTATTTCCTACACCAGCTGCAGACTCTGGAGCTCGGGAGCCAGCTGGTCTCCCCACACTCAGCCCCGCAGGCCTTGAGGAATGGCACCGTGCGGATGTCCACGCCCGCCGCAGCCCCAGCTCCGTTATGACGTGCTTCCGGGGCAGCCTTGGCTCAGAGCAGCAGTCCTGACACGGCACTGACCACCTCTCAATGGCCCGTCCTCACGGGCTGGTGGCAGCCTGGAGCTTGCTCACTAAGGTAGTAGAAACAGGTCTTTGATGCAAGCTTTTACCTGCCAGAGCCACAGTTTTCCCAGCCCAGCAGGGTGACATTGAGGCATTTGTGGCTGGGTGATCTCAGGCCAGGAGACGCTGCCATTCTTGGGTCTTAGAATCTCTGGAAACTGATTCTGGACCCTATTGCAAGGGATGTGAAGCAGCAGGTCTCACCAAACTCTGGACACAGCTTCCAGGCATTCGGGGAGCTGAAGCTCATACAGACCCTGGGAAAGGACCTGGTTCCAGACGGACTTGCCTTAACGGGTGACTTTGCTGGCCCAGGCAGGCAGGAGGTCCCAGCACAGCTAGGCTTACCCAGTGCGGACCGAGCTAGAGCGCGTCAGAGGAGTGAGATGGCAAGGAAGAAGAGGGGCGGGCGGAGAGTGAGCAGGGAAGTTTAAGAAGAGCCAGGGACCAGGCGTGAGAACACAGCTCATGAGAAAGACAGGAATCCTCGGAAAGAGCGAGCGCTCCTGCCAACGGTCTCAGGCACCATCCTGACCCTCTTGGGTGGAAGAAGCTGCTTGTCCCCTTACCTTTGAGACTTACAAAGACCAAGAAACTAATTCAAATAGATCACAATACGCTGGTGTCTGCTTAGATGGTATAACACCATGCACACGGCAACAGATTCACTTCCAAGACCACAGCAAGGGACACGTGTCTTTGAAACCATTCTATTTGCTAGGGGAGGGACTGGGTCCTTGCACACATTCCCTGTGTCCCGTAGTGAAGACAAGAGTACGTGCGAGGAGGCTAACAATGGAGTTTGAAGATCATCTTCAGGGCAACCAAATCTTGTCAGAGGTAATGTGGTAAGATGACGTGGGGGTCTGTTAGAATAAGGTCTGTTAGAACAAGGTCAGACGGAGAACTACTTTGCTAGTTGGCCAAATTTTGATGATGACACACATCCTTAAGTATAATTCAGTGGGCTTCTGTTGTTCTCCTGAGAAATTCAGCACGATCATTAGCATTTTTAATGTTTTCAAAGCACATTGTAAACCGTCTACAACCTCAGAAGTGTTGCTGAGATATGGAAGGTACAGAAAGCACAACCCATCTCTCGTCACTGCCCAAAAGATGTGGAAATTTCCTATGTAAGTTTATCCTCTGAGCCCACTTTAATAAGTTTCTTAGGGAAAATATAAGAAGATCCTGATTTTTGTTCCATTTCACTGAAGATAGTTCCCCCTTTTGACTTCCTTTGTTCTCTGTAATGCATTAAAATAAGACTTTCTACAGCACCCAGTCTACTACGTGCAGGATGAAATCTCAGTCAAGGACAGACGTGTGTGTGGACCTGTGACGTCACATCTGTTTTAGTGTGTCAGGTGCACTCTGCTCACACGACAAAGAAACCACCCGCTGGTCCAGCCACTGAGCAACGGATGCTCTGCTGTGCCTCGTCTGGCCATTGCTGTGCAACTCAGAACCTGGGGGTCTCCGTCTGCAGGCAGGAATGGTTGGAAGTGGTGCTAAATTGTTGAAAGCAAGTGGCAGCATGTGACAAGGGCCTGCGATGTGGTCAGCACTGAGAGAACTGCCCCACCAGCCACAGTTGTTGTGCTATCACACTCCTCTCTGATTCCTTTATCCTTCCCACTCACATAAAGTCAGTATCCGATTCTTTTGGCTTTACCTCAAAAAATATTCTCGTAATCGTCCCCTCCTTTCCATTTCTGCTGTCACCTTCTGAATCTGTTTTGCTAATTTCATCTCCCCTTTGGCAGGGATTGGCTACGGGAGGATTGTTGTCCTTGGGTGGGGCGACCAGGTGACTCTTCCTGGAGGGAGCCTTTCTGCTCCCCGTTCAAAGTGGACAGCCGTCTGTGCTTCCTCAGTGTCCACCAACTAAAAGCAAGACTGCTGCTCTTCAGCGTCTACCCAGCCATGCCTTTGCATACACACCCACTGTGTCCAGAGAGATGCATTAGCCTGTCCTGGGATCCACTGCCCCCAGGCACCCCTCAGAGTCCACATTCCCTGCTCTAACCAGGCTTCTCTCGCCCCTGGTGGAAACTCTGCAGCGTGGTAGTCTGTAGTGTGTATTTTATATGGAAACCTTTGGGCAGCACTGGAGAGTGAGGAATAAAAGCAGGACGGTGCTTCTGTGGTGGTTGTGGAGATGCAATTAACAACGAACCATGACTAGAATAGCTCCCTATAGTAAGTGCTCAGTAAATATTAGCTATTCTCATGGTCTTCTGGTATTGATGGCTCCTTTTCCAATACTTTTCCTGGCAAGTGTTTATTGGACTTGCATTTAGAATCAATTACTCCCAAACCTATTTCTTATAGGCACTGGGAGGAGTTCTTTTCATGCTTTAAGATATATGGTGTCTGCTAACTCTTACCTGCTGTGATTGATACATGATTTGAGTAGATAATTTTGTGCTCAACTTTTTTGATTTAAAAATAGTTTACAAGTCAACCTAGTATGTGAATAAAATAATTGTTGTTAGGTAACACGACATTGCAATTCTATTTAACGCTCTCTACCGCATACCCTCATACCAGCAAGTGCCAAGTAGCTCCTTAAGAACTGGTTTCAATGCCCCTTATCTTGCCAAGCTTTTGCACAGTGATTGATGAAATGAGAAGAGGGCTGTTTTACGTGAGGCTCTCCAACACCTGGCAAGGCTGCCCCGTTTTGCCGATTGGCTGCACTGAGGTTTACACCAACCTGTTTCCTGTGGCTGCAGTGCCATCCAGGGAGAGGGCTATGCCCTAGAATGCTTCCGCTCCGAGCTATGCTGGGCCACTTCCAGGAGTCCCTCCCGCTGGTTGACCTCACAGGTGTTGTAACTGAGTCCACCTGGATGCTCCCTCCTGTTCTGCCTAATGAAAAGACTGGCAGCAGGTTCACGGTCACTATGCAGCTATGGTGTCGGACTCTAGCAGGGAGTTTCTTACTGGGTTTCTTCCTGATTCCATTTTATTGACTTATTTATTTAATTAATTCTTTCCTACTCATTTTTCTATCTGAGCCATCTTGCTCAAGTATGTCCTTGATTATCTTAAATCTGTTTTCAAACAACATAGGGAATACATAAAAAGAAATTTTTACATTTGATACACATTTCTGTTAGCCTTGAAGCAGATTGACAGGGGAACAAGAGGTCTTTGGAGGGAGTGGCACCGGGCTTTGAGTTCCAGCCCTGACACTGGATAACTGCGGACTTGGAACAAGTTATTCAACCTTTCTGTTTCTTCTCTGTGAAATGCAAATAAAAAGCCGCAACTCACAGAGATGTCTTGGGAATTAAATAAAATGACTCATGTAAATTACTCTGTGCATAGTAGGCATTCAATAAATGTCCATTCACTTCTTATCCCAGTTAATAATGCTTATTAGACTGTATTAAAAACTAGAGCCAGACTGTGATAATGCATTTCTTTATTAAGTATTTAAGCCAAATAACTAATTTCCCCCAGGGGCAAGAGAAATGTTGAGTTAGTCTCACTTGGTGAACTTATTTATTCATTTCTTTTTCTTCAAGTTTGTTTGGTTTCATAGCCCATAATTCAGTTTTCAGGCCACACAATTGACACAGGCTGGTGTGCATTCTAACTTTGTTATGATAAGAGTTTTTTTTTTTATCTACTATTACTTCTTCCTTTTATTAGAGAGCGTTATTAATCACATTAACATCCTGGTTGTGCTTCATAACTACTTGGTGCTGACAAACTTGCTCTCAACTGTTTCCTTGAGGTCTAAGGATTGAAAGAATCAAGTTTTAAATGCTGTGCTGCAGCAAAAGAAAACCAGGGGAGAGGCGGAGGGATCCACACCGTCTGTGTCCTTTCCCGTTAATTTTATAGGTTTGCATTTAAGAGGAGCCACGTTTTCCTCACAGACGCAGCCCAAGAAAGAGCGGCGAGAAAAGGGGGAACCCGCTGAGCCGGAGCGGGCGTGCCAGGGCACCTTTAAGGGCCCGGCGCCGGCGCTGCCTCCTCCGGGCCCACCTCTGAACTCTGATTGACAGCGCGCCGGGCGGGGAGGAGCGGCGGCTGCGGCGGCGGCGGCGGCGGGGGAGGCGCGGCGGGGCGCGGGGCGGGGCCCTCGCTTCCAGGGCGACCAATCAGGGCTCGGGGCGGGGCTCCAGGGCCCGCCCCACCCCGCCCCGCCCCGCCCCGCGGCCCCCTCCCCTCTCCTCCTTCCCGTCCTCCTCCTCCGCCGCCGCCGCCTCCTCGCAGGCTGTGGTTTCTGTATATGTTTCTGGAGTCCTGAGCCTGAGCTAAACAAAAGCAGGAGGCTGACGGGGCCGCCGGAGTTTGCAGAGACGCGGAGGAGGAGAGAGCCGGTGCTTTGCCTGCCGGCGGCCGGGGGATCTGGCTTTGGCCACAGCCCACCCCCTTTGAGATCACTCTGGCCCGGAGTGGGGGCGGGGGGCAGCGGGGGGTGGGGGGAAAGTTTGCCTCGCAATCCCCCCGCCTTCCTCTCCTTTCTCCCGATCAATGCATATTTGCAAAAGGATTAAGCCACAGATTTAAGCGCCGGGAGCCCATTTCTGCCTTGCACTGGAGATCGGACTGAAAACCAAAAGCCAGCTCTGGTTTCTTTTCGCCAAGTGGGAAGGTGGTTTATTTTTCTTGCTTTTTGGAGTCAACACCCTTCCCCATCAGCTCTTATCCCCACCCTCACCCCGCAACCCCCTCACGCCCCCTCCCCCTCCCCGCTCTCCATCCTCCCACCAGCCTCCAAAGAGGCAGAGGGATTTTTTTTTTTTTCTTTTGGTCTTCTTTCCCCGTCCCTGATTATCCTGAAAAGGATCTGAAGGCAGCTTGAAGGATCAGAAGCCTCGGTGCTCCCGGAGCCGAGCCGCGGAGCAGCGCCGAGAGCCGGGCTGCCAGCCTTCGGAGATGGACGAGCAGCCCCGGCTGATGCATTCCCACGCCGGGGTCGGGATGGCCGGGCACCCCGGCCTGTCCCAGCACTTGCAGGACGGGGCCGGCGGGGCCGAGGGGGAGGGCGGGAGGAAGCAGGACATCGGAGACATCTTACAGCAGATCATGACCATCACCGACCAGAGTTTGGACGAGGCGCAGGCCAGGTGAGATGGAGGCTTTCCTTCTCCTTTCTTGGGTTTTGTTTTTCTCCCTCTCGCAGGGAGAAACAATGGGGACCGAATCTCCACAGCGCTTTCTTTAAAAATGTTATTTCTCTCCCCATTTTGACAAGCAACTGCATGGCGGAGGAGCAGAATTTGAAGGAGCCTTGTTATGGAAAGTGTGCTCGCCCCTGCCGAGGGTGGCTGTGCACGTCGTGCGTGTGTGTGGACAGGCATCCGTGTGGACCCACACCAGCGGGCGTGCCGAGGGGCTGCCAGCTGACCCCGAAGCGGCCCTCGGCACTTTTTACTGCTTTAAAAAAGTGTAGGAGAGCACCATTGTCAAGTTCTGAGCAGCAGTCCGTGCCTTCGTGTTGAGGGATCGCCTAACATTAGAAATAAAATGTCCCAAGAACACTTTATTTGCAAATTTGGCTGACTCCCTCACTAATTCAGTGAGTTTGGTTTTCTCTCTCGACTTACCCCTCCAAAATCAATTTTTATCTTTTTTTTTTCTCAAGCCCCCCCACCATACAAAACCACCAGAGAAGAAAAAACAGGGCATTTCTTTGTCAGTAATCGTCAGCTACACAGAAATTATTTTACATTCACTTAATTCTGTTTTTAGAAAAAGCTAATGGGAAGAAAGAAAAAAGATAATTTTGCTTTTAGGCATGTTTGCTAGTTTTATGAGACTCGGATTTTCAGTTTAACTTTATTGTCTCCTAATTTGAGTAGGTTTATTAACCTTCCATGACACAGTTATGTACGGTCCTTTAAAAAAGGGTGGGGGGACAGAAATCCAGCTTGCTCCTTCACCCCTGCTGCTTGCAGGACTACGTAGGATGCAGCTGAAGAGAAACGAAAGCAGCGTGAATGTTATGTATTTCAATACTACAGGACATGAAGCTCTTCATTAGAGAAACATAATAAAGAAACTGGAGCCTCCGAACTTGATCCACCACCAGGCTACAGTTCTCATGTATTTTATAGGAATTTTCTTTCAAAATAAAACCCAAGTAAAGTAGCAACCCACTAACATCTTGCCCAAGGCCAAACTCCAAAGAATTTAAAAAATTTAATGACCACATATGCCTATGCAGTTACCCAGCTTTGTTAAATCTCCACAGTATTTTTCCTGCTTGTGCTTTGAAAATCTTTTAAACATGTATTTCAAATTTCTATAACTCGAGTGACTTAGTTATCTGGAGAAAACATATGTAGTTCTTTTTTTTTTTTTTCCCCTCCTAAGGGAAACAGGATTTTGAGTTGAGAGAATGAGAGGGAGCAGATAAAAACACAAATGTGTGAATGCACGGTGTTGGAGCTGCACACACGCGACGCGTAAACTCAGAGGACTCGGTTCACGGGTGCCTAGAAACTTGGGGAGGTTAAAGACTTAGACTATTTTATTTATTTTAATAGAGGAAAGGGTTTTTTTTGTTTTTCTTTTTGTTTTTTAATTTTGGGTGCTCTTTTTGAATTTTATTTCCTAAAGAAAAGCTAATAGGTATGGCAAATGGAATGCTTGCCACTGGCCAATCTCTTTTGAATTGGAACAGATTTCTCCATTACATTGTTCCAGAAAAATACACTCAGACATACCAGTAAACTGCTTTACTAACAAGTTGGTGACATGGAAGGGGCCGCAGGAGCAGACACTCGGCTACTTTTGTAAGACTCAGTCCCTCTTTTTAGTGAAACTGAGGACAAACAGCTCTCAGCAGGTTCCCCTTCAATGGCCTAAAAGCTGAGAGGCCAGATAAAATTTGGGGACAGGGACATGGTCAGTTCTCCTTCTGTAATCCCCTGTGTGTGTGGGGGGGAGACTCACTGTTTCTACATAGCTCTGTGGAGTTTTTGTTTGCCTTTGGGCCTGTGCATATTACACAATTAGTACAATTAGTGAAAACTATTTCTAGAGACTCAGAAAGATCTCAATGCAAGAGTCTTCTCATCCCTTTTTTTCACCCCACATGAGAACTGACTGAATCTCGACTGAGCTTTCTTTTTGGTTGAACAATGCAACTCTACTTGGCAGATGAAATGTCCCTCTTTCCCTTTTTCTTTTTCCTTTCTAATGTATCTTTGTTGATTCCAAAGTAAACTATTACTGTTTTGGATGCCAAGCATTGTGAGTTTATTACTCCTCTGCTGTGAGGTGTAGAGGACATACTTGTAGTCTGCTCTTCTGGAGGCTGTGTGTGTTGTGTGGGTTTTTTTGTTTTGTTTTGTTTTGTTTTTAACTTTCAAAAGAATTAAAGAAGAATTGCATGTGTTTTAAGTGATAGGGGTTTCCACTTATCTTTACACATGATTTTAATTAGTAAACAGAATTCCCTTAACTAAGAGCTGATACGATCAGTATTTTCTTTCTAAAGCACTATCATTCTGCTAAGTGATTCCATGATAAAGTAGAGGGAAGGTATTGTTTTCTTCCTCGAGTGCATTCTGCATACAAACACTCAGACACAAGAACCAGGTCAATCGCTAATCTAAAAGGCAAAATTGTATTTATTTTTTCCCCAATGGGTGGAAGGTCCTAATTGTAAATAATTGAATTTCAACACCTGCAAATAAGCAGTGTGTGCACAAGAGACGTAATGTGAACACAGAGAAATGAATTTATCCCCATATGGGTATGTTTGCCCCCTGGCAATGCATTTCCATACTCTTTAACTTGGGGACTGAAATTTTATAAATTGACAGTTCTGCTCAGAAGACCTTTCAAGCATCTTGTGTTTATGAGAATACAGGGGCATCTGCGGAATGAATTCAAACACATGGATGAATTAAATTTGAACACACGCAGACGGAGAAGCAGGCAGCTTCTAGGCTGTGGTCACTGCGTGGATTTTGCAAAACTGTTAACCTCTGTGTTTGGCTCTGTGTATCCACAGTCCTGTAAGGGATGATTGGTTTCAAAATTCCACTTTGATTACACTACTTTTAAAAATTCCCTAAATGGGCATAATTTAGGTTAGTTCTGTTCTGTAGTTAAATCCCTACTCTCTCACTGCTAATTAGCATTATTTCTTTTTCTGTGGCGGGACTTCGCATATTACGTCATAAAAACAAGTGAAGCGTGCCGCAGGGTTGGGCTCGGTATATGATTTTGGCTAAATGCACAGATTCCCCTGTGCCATCTCAGCAGTTTGGTGTTGGGAGTCCACCTAAGCTACCATGTTGTTGTTTTGTTTTTTTTTTTTTACAGAAAACATGCTTTAAACTGCCACAGAATGAAGCCTGCCTTGTTTAATGTGTTGTGTGAAATCAAAGAGAAAACAGGTAGGAATGAGAATCCAATCTTTTGGCATTTTCTTCGGCCAGTTGAATCACTTAACCTGCAATCATGAACGTCGTATTTAAAATTAGAATTTCAGAATGAAAGTGCTGATTGCCCAATCTCTAATACCAAGTCCTCGTCCTGCTTTCTGTAAAGAAGGAATCCAGTTTCTCTGACGCTGTTTTCCAGTAGTACAGGTTTATTTTCCTTAACTCTTTCTCCACCCTTTTGGAAATTGAGGCTAAAATGTAGGTTCTGAAGGAAAATTCGTAGAATGGTGTGTCTTTGGGGAAAAATATGAAAGTGTCCATTTCCTGAAAGAATGTACTTTGGCCCATAATTAAAACCCCAATCTATTTTGTGGCGTTGGGCTGGGGCGGAACTGTTTAAAGTTTCTTTTTTCCCCTTTTTTGCTTATACTTATACAAAGAGCCGGCTAGAGGCTGTCCACAGAAAGTGTTGTCAAATACCTTTGTGGGAAGCGCCTTCCAACAGTACCTCTCTGTCTTGGCCTGGGATTTCCTAGCGGGTGAGAGGTAGAGCGCACTGCCTGGAGAGCCCTGGCTCCTGTTCCACTCTCCAGGCCTCATATCATGGACTAACACACTTAGAACACACCCCAGGAGGGCATTTAAATTTTAAAGCAACAATTAAAAAATAGCAGTCATCAATCAGAGGTGTTCTTAAACAGCAGGTGCTGTGGGAAGGACATTTAGCACCATCCTCTTATTTGTTTACTTTAATCCTTAATTTTCCAAAGTGGCTAAATCTCTCCCTTGTAAGGAGAAAGAGTTTGAAAGGCGATCTGAAGCCATGGCATAGAGATGAGAGACCTGGCTACATACAGGGGCAGCTTCTGCTGGGCTCTGACTCCTGCTCCCTTTGAAGCAGCGCAAAGTACCCGACATCCTACTTATTTATTTATTTTTTACAACAAGGACTGTAACAGTCAATAATTCATATCTAAACCATATAAGCAAGGGCATGACACGAATGAAAGTGACGATAAATATGATGGCATGCCCAGTTGATATACATTGATAGTCACACAGAAACGGGGCAGGGAGGGCCGGCGCCAAGGTGGCTTTCTTTTTGGGGAGCTTTCTGTGTTTCTCCTTTAAAAAATAAATAGTTTCAAGATGTGATTGTTGATTGAGTTCATGATTACTTGGGCTTCAAATGTACGTGGGATCAGCAAGCGGCTCTTTGCTGGGTGTTCTTTATGGTGTGCTGGTATCCAGACAAAGCACCTGGGCCGTGCGGCCTGGACCTGCTGTCCACCAGGTCGCCTCGACAGCCAGGGACCTATTGCAAAACGGCTAGCTGCAGTTTTTGGCTGGGAGACACTTCTTACGAGACTCATGGATTGTGCATACGAATATCACAAGGGCTTTTCTCAGTTCGTAACCATTTTTAGTTTTTTTCCCCCCCCTCAGGAGTAAATGTATATATATATATATATATATATATATATATGTCTCTCTATTTTTCTCCTCTCTCCTTTTTTTTCTTCCTTTTTCTTTGATCAGTAATGCTCATTCACTTTTAATGCTGGGTTTGTTAAAATTTGCTTCTAATTAAGTATGAGTTTCTTCTGATCTTGGATCATAAAATGCAGAATCAAATAGAAAGAAGTATGTAATAGTTCAGACTGAGAGAGTTTATTTTTGAAGATACTTTTTTTCAGATTTTCATTGAGAGGCAGCCTGTCAGGGCACTTAATGTACACTGTGGCGAGAGTGTTCCATTCTAGCCTCGTAATTAAAACCTACCGAGGCAGTAGATCAAAGTGGGTGGGTGGGAGTCAGGTGGGGGTCAGGAGTTGGCGCCTTGTTGTTACGGGCTAAGGCCTGGAGGGGCAAAGCAAGTGTGGTGGCCTAAATAACATTTTAAAGATGCAATTTGTGGCTGGAATACATATTTTGGTTTTTAAAATTCTATGTCGACACACTTCATGTTTGGAAATTCAAAAAAATATCTAAGTTGTGTGTGTTGTGTCTAGAATAATGTATTTAGAAAATAGCGTATAAAATGATGTAAATCAAAAGTTTAAAGATACTTGTGCCCTCCGTTAAGAGAGAAACACGCACATGCACACAGGCGTCGCACACACGGAGTTTGCGTCTGAGGGGACACCTTGAGTGAAAGTTAGAGAGAGAGCAAGACATCCCCCCCCTGGCCTTCAACTTGAGTGGGGAGGGCTGAGGGGAGGGGCACTGCTGGGGAGCCTGAGAGCTGTGCTGGACATAGGCGTCAGCCATGGGTGATCCTCCAGGGGCCCAGCCACCTCTGGGCTCTCAGAGGCTGCAGGCCCCTGCTCCAGGCCAGCGTGTCCTCCGTGTCCTCCGTGTCCTCCGCGGGGTTGGTGTAAGTCCATGTGAAGCCCCCTCTGCCCTCTTGGTGCTGAGCTAGAAACATGGAAGGGCGGCTCCAGCCAGCAGCTCCCGCCTCCTGTGCCTGGCCCTTCCCGGGCCTGGCCTTCAAGCCCTTTGGTGGGAACCGTGCTCCTGAGCTCCACCCAGCCCTGCGGAGGTGGCCCCATGTCATGGGCTCGGCACTTGTTCTACTCTGACCTGAAGTTCACACATCGGCCTGGCCTTCAGAGCTCTGCCGGGGAGCCGGCCGTCCTATCCACCCCTGCTTTTGGTTTTAGGTTTCTGCAGTGACTTTAGTTGGGAGACTCAGGAGTAAATGGGGTGTCTTCCCCACCTTTTGGAACTTTCAAAAACAGGCGCGATACCTGAGGTAGGCAGCGGGTCTGAATTACAGTTGATTGATGGGTGTTTAAGTCAGAAATTACTGTGGGGACGCTTGAAAAAGAAGAACCCCTGTGTCTGCTTGCTTCAGAGTGTGAGTAAGTTTTTATTTTGATACTTTTTTTGCTTTTTAAAAATAAATGCCAAGATAAAAGAAAGCCATAAAGAAGCTCAGGGAGCATATTCCAGACAGCAGCAAGAAAGCCCTGTCAAGACCACGGTGTGAAGATTTCAAGTGGCTTTGATCTGCACACTCATTCGGGAACCCAGAGACTCGACATGCAGTCTTGGGCCATTTAGTGGCACATTTTCTTTTGTTTTTTAAAGAACGGTTCCTGGTCTCCTGATACAGGGGACCTCAGGCTTGCACAGGTGTATGTGGTGGCAACTGGGCTGGCGGGGTGCAGGGGAAGAGGAGAAAAGCCAAACACGTTGCATTTCTTTAATTAAAAAAAAAAAAAGAAGAAAGAAAGAAAAAAAAAAGACTCAGAATATATTTTTAAACATTGCTTGGTTTTTAAATTTTTATTTCTGGGTCAAAATCATGCAGGTTTACAAATTGCAAAAAGAAAAAAAATAGATGTCATTTACTAAGAAGAATATTTATAGATAGCAATGAATAGTTGCAATTGTTGTGAATAGTTTTTAATTTTAGAATATAATAGCTATATATGGCGCTTTTCAGCCAATTTTCCTCAGTGCATAATCTGCACTGAAGTTAAGTCGAATAATTGGAGGAGGTTAAAAAATTATTTTTTGCTTCCTCAACCCCCTTTGTTCTCTCTCTTTCCCTTTGCTGTGTTCAATTAACACCCCCATCACGGAACTGTGGGGTGTTTTTGAGTCTACTACTGTATTTCTTTTTTGACACCTCCCTTATTATTCTTGCCTGACTCTTCTTTTTAATATGGCAATTACATTATGGGACTTCTACTCCTCTCCTCTCCTCTCCTCTTAAAAGCATTGTAGAATACTGTGTGTGTGTGTGTGTGTGTGTGTGTGTGTTGGGTTCCTACGGAAGGAAGCTGTATATTGCAGGGAGTAATTCTGATGGCTTTAGTCCGTGAGCAGAACAGACTGAAATGACTTCAGGGAGGTTAGAGCAGCCCAGATCAGATTCCTTTCAGACTTCAGGCAGGACTAACTTTTTGTAGAAGCTCATCTGTAGCAGGTAAATGCAAATCTTTCTTTTTCTAATAAGAGAATACAAGAATTTGGTCTTTTTAAAAAATTATTTTAATAATAATAATGAGGTATATAATAATAATATATTATTATTATTATTATTATCATTTTGGTAGCAGGGTCTAAGAAGAGAGAAGGCACACCTGAGGGAAGGTACGAGCCAGTTTTAGCTGTGCGCCCCTCCTCAGGCGGCAGGCGGTGGCAGTCCTGTGGCCGGGCACTGCCGTGTAGAATGGCGTGGACATGCGCTGTACACCTTTAGTTGTGTCTCAGAAATGCAGGGACAGGATGTGTGCTGAGCTTGGGACCACAAGGCCCCTTCTCTTCGGGCACTCTCCTGTACTCCATGTTTTAGAAATGGGTTTAGAAAAATGCTGCTTTTGAGAGGTGGGGAGAAGGATGTGGAGAGGGCTTGGTCAGCTGCCAGGAGATTCTCCTGGACTCTAGGAGTGGCTTGTGAGGGAGGGCAGGGGAGCTGTAGCCGGGGGCTGTGAGCCAGCCTGGCTGGGTGGAGGGGTTGTCACCTGCCCGAGTTCAGCTGCCTCTACCCACTGAGGGCTTCTGCTCGTCTTCTATTGACACCAGGAACTTTTCCCTGTTTTTGGCAAATTTGCAAAAATATTTACAAATAAAATAACCAAAACCTGGTATGAAACACTCGGAAGTAGAAAGCCCTTTTGATTTTAAAGCATAAGCCTGGCTTCTTCTGAAACATGGTTTACTTCCTGCATGCCTTAGGAACGCTGATCCTTCATTTTGTTTTCAAACATCTTTTAGATGCTGCTGTGTTTGAACTTAGTGAAGTAGATGTCGATATATGTTTATTGATTTTCTTTAAAAAAAAAAAGTTTACCCCAAGCACCGTGAGCAAAGCACTCTACCAGCCTCAGCCCCAAAGACACCGCCATTCGCTCATGACCTAGAGGGGCACCTGCCCAGGTGCTGCCCGACCGACCTGGGCTAGAGGACAGTAGTGGCCCCGGCCCACATCTACCCCTTACCTGAGACACTGTGTGAGAGCCAAGGAATGCAGTAATTGATGAATAGCATAAATGGAGGGTTAATGAGTTGTTTGCAAAGCTCTTGGAGCTCCCCGGGTTATATAAATAAAAGATGCTGTTTCATATAATAAATTATCTCCAAACTCATCTTCTACTCCATTTCACAATCTGTCCTTGCATTAACCCTTCCTGGCCAGAGACATATTCTCTAGCGGTCCATAACTAAATAATGGGGTAGGCAGTTCCCGGTCTGCAGCTTTGCCCATCTGCGTCTCAGGGACCTCACTTCTCAGAACTGGGCAGAGTGACTCCCAGAAGGAGAAGGAGAGTCTAGGTACAGACGGTCAGTTTTACAGAACCCGCTGCCTGTTGGCAGAACAGGCCGGCCAGCTCCACTCACCAGGTCTCATGCTTCCTAACACTGTCGGTCTTCGGTTACGCACGGAAGTCAAGACCCCAACAGGGGGAGATCCATCCTTGGGTTCCCACTGTAGCTTCACCTGGGCCCCCCTGGTACTCTGTCGCTAACTGGGCCTGGGGGTAGATGGGTCAGCCCATGCTCATTCTGGACTTATTGCCGGGTAGTTCTGACCCACCGGCAAATGGCTGGTTTTAGGAGGAACTACCACAGTGATGTAGGAACTTGACCTCTAAACCAGAGTCCTTGGTTTGTGCCCACATCTGTGACTTCTCATCTCTGTGACGTTGTTCATGTTACTAGACCTCTCTGTGCCTTTCCCTTATCTTTGAAATAGAGCTCATCGGGATGAGTGTCTCAAAGTGTGGTTGGAGGACTAAATGAGGTCATGCATGTAAATTACAGTGCCTGGCACAGTCCATGCTGTTGGCTTTTATCATTTCTGTCCTTGTTTTCTTACATGAAAAAGAGGCTTACACCAGATGGTCCCTAAAGACTGAGCCAATTCCAAGACTCTGATTCCATGCCGAAAAGAGACAAAAATCGCTGAATTTAAGATTTGCTCCCTTTTGTTTTTCTTGCTATTCTCCTAAAGTGAAAGCTGTATCTGGCCAGAAGGCTAGGACTAGGGTGGAAGCCGCGGGGGCAGGAGGAGGGAACTGGAGAGAAAGCTTCTTCTTAGAGGTCCTGTTCAGACTGGACAGGAACCACCTCAACAGCTAGAGGTGCAGCCTGAGCCCCGGCAGCTGGAGGGGCCCTGTGGTCTCCGTCCTGAATACTTCCTCTCTGAAGTCACAGAGGCCATCCGTGCGTGGGACCTGCCGGGGCTCCAGGGAGGAAAAGCACATGAAGTAAGTGCAGGGCAGCTCGACCTTTCCTGTGTTCTGAGATGTCCCTTACTTAAGAAAAGTGATGTCTTTGTCATAAGGAGAGCTTTGACACAAAACAGGAATATTCTTCGTTTTTTACAGGTTTCTTGAAGTATGTTTTTTACCCCATGAAATTCATCCATTAAAACAACAACAACAAACAAACAAACAAATAACAAAAAGAAAGAAAAACAGTTCAGTGGTTTTTAGAATATTCACGAAGTGGTGTGCTCATCACCACAATCTAATGTTTGGACATCTTTATCACCGCCCCCCTCACCCCCCCCCCCACCAGTCAGTGCCTGTTCTCCTTTGCTGAGCTCCTGAGGAGGGTGTGTCTGCACTGTCTCTGTGGATTTTGCCTATTCTGGATATTTCCCATTGGACAACCATACCACATGTGGCTCTCGGACTGTTCTGCTTAGCGTCCATCCAGGGCCTATCCATATGTGGCAGCACGTGGCTGCACTTCATGCCTTTTCCACAGCTAGATAATAGGCCACTGTGCAGGCTCACTGCACTTGTGCCTCTCTTCACCAGCGGATGGGTGCACAAGCCCTTGGGAACGATGCTGTGGATGTTTGCAGACTGGTTTTGTGTGTGGACATGCTTTCTCTGGATGTAGGAATGGAGTTGCTGTGTCATATGGTTATGCTACGTTTGGGTTTTTAGGAACCCAGACCCTCTCCCAGATTGTCTGCAGTGCCTGCCACCTCCTCCCCCTCCCCCTCTTCCTAATGAGCACAGCTCGAACAGTGGGTGAGACGGGTCTTCCCAGGTCACTTTGCCAGTCTTAGTGCTCCCAGCATTCCCTTTCCCCACTTTCTCCAGTCAAGGACATCTCTTTTCTTATACAGTGAAGGACTATGTTGTGTTTTTCGTCTCCTTTGGTCAATATTTACTCTAGGGGAAAATATTATGAACACATTTTTTGATTTGAATTATGCATGGTCAGGATTTATGTGAAGCCTCTCTCAGAACAATTTGCATTGTAAAGAGGTGAAAAGTAAAGTCAAAGGAATGAATCTCTAAGCTGGAATGTCAGTGTCAGGTTCCTGGAGAGGAAGACACTTTGAGAAAAGAATGGAGAATTCCGAGGAGCAGTCTAGTGTGAGAGAGCGAGAGACCCCGAGTCCCACGCGTGGTGGGACTCAGCTTGCAGTGTTGTCATCTGACCTAACTGGCTCCATTGCCTCCACTAGACAGTGACATGGTTCTTGCTGGGTAGGGTGCTTGACCAGCTGAACAGGACGCTAATGCACAGAACGGGGTTCAAGATGTGCTCAACTAATGGCAGCCACGCTTGTTCTGAAGCCCTGGCTCAGATGTTTGGCCACTGCTCTCTGCCCTTGGGCCTGTCTCTTGGGTTGGATGTGTCACCAGCCCTGCTCTGGAGTTTCGTGGCTCACTGGAATGCTTGCTCACCTGCTTTTATGAGAAATGCTTGTCTGTAGAAGAGAAAAATAAGAGTTGGACAAAGCTCAGCAAAAGGTCCCCGACACTCCCTCCTCTCCAGCTGGAGTTCTGGGAGAAGTCCTTGGGACTTCAGTGAGCCCTCGTGTAACTCCGAATTTAATGATTGACATTTTCTGGTAGCCCCTATTATTAAAATAAATAAATAAATAAACAAACAAAAACTAAACTGAAAATAAACAGAATTAATCTTAATTATGCATTTAATTTGGCCGAAATATATCTAAAGTACCTTAACCTGCAGTCATCGTGAGCATTTTTAATGAGGTGCTTTGCGTTCTGTCTTGCACTAAGGCTTTGGAGTCCCCTGGGGAGTTCACACTTACAGCACACCTTCCTTTGGTTGTATTTCAGCTGCTCAGGAGCCACGTGTGCTGGTTGCTGCCATTCTGGATGGCACAGCAGGAGGGTTGTTGGGTCATAGAGCTTGCTTTCTTCGTTTTTTGGCTTGGTTTTGCATTCCGAGGAAGACACATGTTGCTCCCTGCTCAAGCCTGATCTGGCAGATCTGTAGCAGGTGTGGTTGGTTCCTGGTGGACAGCACCAGAGTACCAAGCACCCAGGCACCTCTTCCTGGCAGGGGCCTCCCCAACACACTCCAAGGTCACAGGGTGCTGGGACCCAGTGGTCTGGGGCATGTCTTCTCTTTTCATTCTTTCTTGACATCAAACCTCATTTTATGCTTTGTTTCTATATCCTTAATGAAATCTAGAATGCACCCTAAAATAGGCTGCGTGAGCCAAACAGCCACTGTGGGTTTTTTAGCCAAAACACAGAGAGTAAAGTATAGAAGAGTCCATGGTGTGACAAAAGTTTGCAGGTCCCACACCAGGCATCCCCAGGCCCAGCGCCAACGAGTCCCTGCTGGCATGTTATTCTGAGAACTCCATTTAACCTCTTGGTTTCAGGTTTTCTTGTCCACAGAATGGGTGACTCTGGAGAGCCACTAATCTGATCCCCTTTCCTTGGGTCATGAGCCCCAACATGATCCTTGCTGAGACTGGGTTCATAGGAGGGAAGGCAGGCTGAGCGTGTATAAGAGGAAAGTCCTTTTTGTGTTATGGCAGTTCTGAGCCTAGGAATCCTGGTATCTTTTTGTGGACAGTCATGTAAAACTGGTTGTGGTGATGGTAAAGCTTCCATCAATCAAGTCCATCAGAGAATGCAAACAGGGAGGGAGAATCCTAGTGGAATTTGAGAAATGCTCATTATTGACACACTCAGCATCACAATTGCAAGGCCAGTTTGAGGCCAGTCCCGGTCTAACCCACCTTGTTGATGGTGTCTGAATGCAAGTAGTGCCTCCACACACTCCTCTGAAGCTGTTGGAAATTGCTTTCCACTGCCTTTTAGGATGCACAGGGGTTTGTGGCTGCAGGAAGTGCAGAAGCCTCTTTGAGTTCACGTGGTGGAGGGCAGGACAGAGGAAGATTGGTTTGGTTTTCACCTTGGAATCATGGCGTTACTGGGCCACCATTTGCCTCAGCTGAAACACTGAAATAATTTGTTTCCCACCTACATGTCAGCGAGGCTTCAAGTGAGGATATTTAGAAAGTGTTTGCATCTCTAAGAAAGGGTGGCCAGGGAGTGAGAGGAAAAACTTACCTATTTGTCTTGCTTTGAGATGATTGAATCTGCCAGTAGGTCAAAGGAATACATTTACCCAGTGGCCTGTGCGGGCTGGGTGGAGGGAGAGCAGCCAGTCCTTCCTTCCGAGGGCTTTAGGTGATTTGAGACCTCAAGGGTTGTCGCCCTAAGGGAATCCTTATAATTACCATTGTTAATAGAATTAAAACTTTGCATTTACCCCTTGTCCCTGACAAAGAAAGCCTCTCTGAGGCTGGATGAGCGCAGCCTGCGCGGTTCTGAAAGGCCTGCTGGGTGTGGGCTGCAGACCCTAATCCCCCTGCACATTTGCATGCTGAGGCTGGGGGCGCGCACCCTGCGTACATTAACCAACATTTAAAAACAAAGGACGGGCCGCTGGCGCGCAGCTTCCTTTGTGCGCCTCCCTACCCGGGCGCTGTAATCCCTCACCCCTTTCCAGGGGACCGCCTGGCGGGGCGCGGCGGGGAGAGCTGCGGCCCGGAGCAGGCCGCGCCGTGGCCACGTCGTGTAGGAATGCTTTAAGCCGCTTGGTCCTGAGGCCAGCTGGGGAGGACGCGGGGAAACCCAGGAAAGAAAAACCCGACCGCACGCCACAAACCCCCGAGCGCGGGCGCGCGTTCGCTCGGCCCCGGGAGGAGACGGCGCCGAGGTCCCGGGCGTCTGCGGGCCGGATCGCGAACCGAACTTCTGAGCCGGCCCCGCAGGCGGGCGGAGAGAGCGGCGGGCCCGGTCTCAGGCCCGCGGCTCCTGGGGCCGAGGCCGAGCGGGGCGGGCGGCGGCGAGGCCCGGGACCCGCGGAGGCCCGCGCACCCGGCGCGGCGGCCCAGGAGGCCGCGAGGCCGGCGCTCGCCCGCTGGCTCCCCGGCCGGCCGCGGCTGCTCTCCCCGCGCGCCCCGAGGCCCGGCGCGGCCCGGCGCGTCTCCTCCCGCCGCTCGGCGCCTCGCTCGGCCTCGCGGGGTCCCAGCGAAGTACGGCCGCGCCACCTCCTTCGCCACCGCGCTCTGCTCCGCAGGAGGGAGAGGGCCGCGCCGGGAGAGCCTGGTCCGGGGCTCACCTACCGACCCTCGCGGCGGCCGTGCGCACCAGCCCGCAGCGGGGCCTGCGACGCGCCCCGAAGGGGTCCTGCCCTGGGCCCAGAGCCCCGTTTCCCGCGGGCAGAGTGCAGACGGCCCTGGCCCTGGTATTACATACGGAGGTGACATTCAGAAGCTGCGTGTGAGCACGTGGGCGAGTGTGTGCTCACATGCACGCATGTTAATTTGCAGCTTCTTTCCTGGTCGGCCTCTGTCTGTCGGCCCCTTTCGGTACACACTCCAGCTGCCCGCCCGTTACGGTATTGAAGTGGGTTAACACAATCCCAAGTTGCCGCGGAAACCCTCCCTCTTTCGCTCCATGGGCTCTTGCAGGGAGCGCAGTCATCCTGCCCCGGGGAGATCTTTAACCCAAGAACCTTGATGGACTTTAAACAGCCTTGACGTTTGTTTTTGTTAAGCTTGGTCTGATTTCTTGAACACTCCAAGGTTTGGGCCTTCCAACATAACATACCTAGTCTCTTTATTTGGTGGCCTGTCTTGTTTTAGAGGAACGCATAAAGGGGGCCTCAAGTGGCCTGATTTTCTCCAGTCTAAAGAAAATAGAGAACCGATGTTGGTCGTTGGCCCTGCTGTCGCTCCCCTCCCCCTCCGCCTTCTGGAGCCCACAGGAAGGGGCTGCATGTGCTGCAGCCTAAGCCATATTACTTTATTTTCGTCTTAGAAACTTATGCTAGGAAAGGCGCTCTGGATGTGGGATTGCTTTCTTCCATGGATTCTGTGCCTTCCCAGTGTTGTGCCATTGTAGCTCCCAAGGACACACCAGGCCTTCCAGGAGACCCTCCCCAAACTTTCCCTAGATAAATGTGGAAGCCATAGGCAGGAAGGTGGCCCTTCCTCCATACTTGAAAACCCTATGAACTGGTTCCCTCTATAAACTCAAGCAGAGGGTCTCCTCATGGGTGTTTCTCATCCCAGGATCTCTGGGGAGAGGATGGCGGGTATTAGGGAAGGAGTTTGTGCCTCTCCTGCGGCGTCTGGTTCTCATAGACACTATAAGTGTAAGGGCAACAGTGGTAGCAGAGGCACTGGTGACAGTAGGGACAGGAAGCCACTCTTTACCTGCCCCTCCTGGGTCCCAGGCTGGCACATCCTGGTGACTTCCCTGGGCTGAGGGGAGAACATCTCAGGTGGCTTCTTTCTGGCCAACGCATGGAAATTGATGGACTTGTCCACATCCAGCTGAAAGAATCTTCTCACCTGTTGACCCTTCTGGAATGCTGTCCTTCTTAGTAGAGGACATGGAAGCTTGATTGTTTTTTAAGTAGATTTCATCAGATATTTGTGAACTTCACTTGTTCTGGAGATGGTAGGGAAAACTCTTCTCCTCCCTAGTCGAGAGCCAAAGATGAATGCCAGGCCTGGCTGGGCCCGGCAGGAGAGGCCGGCCTGCATTCTAAGATGGGGAGATGAGATGCACAGGTGAGACCTGGGTTCCACCCTCAGGACCACCCCAAAAAACAAAACAAAACAAAAACAAAAACTCTGACCTCACAGGTTGATTTTTCACTCCAGAAAATTTTTCACTTTGAGTTTTGGGAGGGCATGAAGGATCAGTATTCTGTTTTGCTCTATCCATTGTTAAATCTGCAGCACATGTTTATGAAACTTCTGTGTCTGAAGCGTTATGAAGACAGCAGGGCCCTTGCTCCAGGACCTTCTGGCCCAATGAGGGGCCTGAGTCGCACTTACAGTCATCCCAGCACGCCAGCTGACGTCGCTCAGAGCGCTGTGCCAGGAGTGTGGCTGCAAAGGTCACTCTGAACCAGGACAGTCCTCAGTTGGGTGTGCATGCAGAGGCGTCCTTCCTTGAATGCAAGGACTCCAGGTCGACCCTGGCAGCTGGGGAAAGTGCTGTCCCTTTGGCCTTCCTGCCTTTCCCTAAACACCGTGGCCCACACTTCCCTCTGCCTTTCCCCCCTCATTCCCTTTGTCTCCCCCCTCCCCAGTGCTATTTGCCAAACTTGTGACCTGAGACCACTTGGCATTTCCGGGGACGGCTGGAATTTACCAGGCGCTGGGTAGGCATTCTGTGACATTTGCTCACCTGGGCAGCTTAAGCTACATGGTCTGTGTCTGCCCGAGAGGTCGGAATTTACCTCTGTGCTCCAGGGTTCTTGCTAGCAGGGAGGCAAACACTGGTCTTCCTAGCAGCTGGAATTAACTCTTATCATGGCGCACATATATAGTTATATATCCGTTCCTACACATGTTTATTATGTATTCAATAAATGCATGTAGACAATTTGTGCATTATCTGTCATTCTCTAGTCATTATTTTAACAAATTAAATTTTCATGGTTAGCTTCATCTTTCACATCCATACCCTCTCTTCCACAGCTACCTCGTTTCTTCTTCCTCTCCCCCGGCTGGTGGAGGACACTGGGTTAGCTGAATGCTCTTTAAGGCCTGGTGCCTTGAGACCGCCTGTCTCCTTGAGGTCTGTGATACTCTGGGTGACGGCTTTCCGGCTTTCTCACGGAGGCTGTCCAGCCCCTCTGCTGCTAAGGAAACACCTGCCTGTCTCTTTGGATCAAACTGGTCTGGGAGGCTGTTCAGTCCAGTTGATGGGGACAGGCCAGCCCTGGAGGCATCTCTGGCTCTCAGAACACACACTCACTTCTTTCTGTCCTGGCTGTCAGCGAGCGAAGGAAACAGGCAGTGTAGACAGTGAGTGTTGCTTTGTCCTTGCTCCTCCAAGTGACTTCAAGGGGAGAGTACTCTTGATTGTCGGAGGAGGCTGAGCAGAGACCGTCAGCAGAAGTGAAGTCTGTACTTCACTGAAGCTGGGAACTCTCCTGTCCACAGTTGGTGCACACAAAAGGTGCTTACTGCACGCAGAGGTACTGCTGCTACTCTAGCTTTTAAGATGAGGAAATTGAGATGCACAGAGCTAATGAAATGCCCAAGTCACACAGCAATGGAGAGGCTGAGGTGGGACTGGTTTTACTCAGTAAGTTTTACCAAATAGATTTTTCTACCAAAATATTCATCCCCACTGGGTGACAGCACTTCAAACTGATTTGTCCAAGAAAACCTGGTGGAATCCTCCTCTGCTGTCCAGGTAACAAATTTGGCTGCTCATGTCTGGCCCCATTTCTCACAAGAAACTTACCATCCTGTGGCTGTGCTTGGCAGCAGACAGGCAGAAGAGGAAGGTCCCAACCCCGCCTTGGCCCTGCGTCCTGGGTTTCACTGCCCTGGGCTTATTTCTCTTCAGAGTTCACCTGCTTTCCTCTGGGGAGGAGCCTGACCTGTTTCCAAAGTGGTCTAGAGCTGGGCTGCCCAGCACATGCGTCACCCTTTCTGGTTCCTTCTCAGAAGCCAGGTGCTTTGACAAAAAGCGAAAGCAGGGCTGAGCCTGGTCCTCGCACACCCTCCCTGTCCTGCCCTCCTTCGGCCACTCCCCACAGGCCAGGCGGTCAGGGCCCTTGGGTACCTCCAGCCTGTGCAGGTGGCGTCTGGTTTCTCCAGATGCACAATTGCATGGGGCAGCTGTCCTTTGAAAAGTGAGTGTTCTCAGCTTGGACCCTCAAGAGTGGTGTCACCCTGAGATGCCAGTCGCGGCCCGGTGATGTGGGGACCTGTGAGGCCTCACTTGCAGGGCCTCCTGCTTCTCGGCACCAGGCGATGCGGGGAAAGAGAAGACCGTTCAAGGTGTGCCTGTCCACCTTCCCTGCCCAGGAAGCAGTGCCCCTGGAAGGCCGCAGGGGAGGGAATCTTACAAGAGGGACAGACGGGGCATGGGCCTTCGGGTCACCACCCTGGAGGAGCACCTCTTTCTGGTTTCCCCTGTATTTATGATACCTGCTCCCTGCCATTTTCCTTGTGGTCACATGAATTTCCCACTGCTTGGATGACTACACACTTAGGGATAAAAATTTCCTTCTACTCATAAGCAGAACTGGCTATGTATCTTTTTTATTTTTTAATTTTTAGTGGTAGATGGACCTTTATTTTATTTATTTATATGGGATGCTGAGAATCGAACCCAGTGCCTCACACAGGCCAGGCAAGCTCTACCACGGAGCCCCAGCCCCAGCCCTGGTTATGTATCTAATCTATTTATTTATTGCTCATCTGATTTCAGAGAGGAATTCAGCAGCTCACACAATGTCCAGGTAATGAAGGGGATGCCCTAACAGACGAGGGTGTTCAGACCAACAATAAAGTGCACACTAGGGACCTTCGTTCCTGTGGGTGGAGGGAGGCCCTTCCTCCTATAGCCTCCCAGCTCCCTGCTCCAAGGAAGAGCTGCCTGACTCAGTGTCACACAGCAAGGTCCTAGAGAAGATGGCTGCAGTTTTCATTCTCTTTCCTAGTAGCAAAAGCAAAAGAAGAAACAGGACCAGTTTTAAATTTCAAAGCATTTGGGATTGCAAATGTATCAGTTGTTTAAGGGAAAGCAGATTTTTACCCCTTGGTATGAAGCCACATGCAAATTTTCCCGCCATAATTTCTAATGAGAAAATGTTAAATGATATAGTGGACATTGTCCCCAAGAATATGGGACACATATCAGTGTATTTTGCCGTAACTCTTTTTACGAAATCTCTGGCACTCATCACACTTCACTGTAATCATTGTCTAATGATCCAGTTCCTTCATAAGACTATGAATTTCTTGAAAATAGTGATCAGGATTTCTGTGCCTGGCACACAGCAGTTGTTCAATTAATAGTTTTGAATGAAACACTTTGTTATGTTTAGCCAAAAGGGGGCGTGTATTAATGGTTATTGAGCATTCACTACTCTTGGCTCAGACTTCCAGAGGAACTTGGGGTCAGCTGGGAGTAAGCTCACAGTGCCAGGCACACTGGACTCTGGCTTGATAAGGGCTCCCTAGTGGAAACTCAACTTGTCTTCTGTGAGACAGTGTGCGAGGTGTACTCTTGGTGCGCGGTGGCTCTCAGGACACTCTCAGTGCAGTTAGCTCCTCCTTCTGGAGTCTAGGGATTGGTGCCTGTTATGGTGTGGATGTGAGGTATCCCTCCAAAGCTCACATGTGGGGCAATGCAAGAGGTTCAAAGGAGAAATGACAGCATTATCACCTGCTGGGATTACTTGGTACCTGGAGGCAGGTGGGGTGTGGTGGAGGAGGCAGGCCCTGGGGGCGTGGCTTTGGGGCGCACATTTCTATCTGGAGAGTGGATTCTCTCTGTGCTTCCTGATCATGGTGGGAGCTGCTTCCCTCTGCCGCCCTCTTCTGCCAAGATGTCCTGCTTCATTCACCTCGAGCCCAAGGAATGGAGTCTACTGTCTGGATTGAGGCCTCTGAAACTGAGGCCCCTCATAAACTTTTCCTCCTCTACAGTTGTTCCGGTGGGGTGCC